ATTTTTCCTGGGTTAGACAAGGTAATAATTTATTACTGTTTCCACTAGTATCAGATTTTGCATTCTAATACAAATTGAGGTTAGAGGTGGACAAAACTATGTCTGTGGCAATGTGTTCAATCACTCCTAATGTCTTCAGTTAGAACAAGACAACAGCAAGCCATGTTGAATTTAACACTGATCTGGGCCGAATGAGAGAGAATGCATTCAAACCTTCTGAAAGGGAACAATCTAAGCTGCTCAACTTTCACCCGGTTTGTTTAGCACTGCTAGTCCAGAGGGGATGTCGGGATGGGTGAGAAAGCAAGCCACCGTGTAACCGAGTAGAAAGCATCCCAGACCAGGAAAGAAGAGCTCAGGGTCCTAATTCTGGCTCTGCCAGGTGTTAGCCGGGTGACTTGGGGGACATTGCCGAGTCTCTGGCTAGCTCAATTTCTCATTTGAGAAATGAAGGGATTAAATTAGGCTTTTAAGAACCTTTCTAATTCTTAGTCCATAAATAACACCAGAAAACGATGGTAGAGAATCTGAAGAAATAGGTGGCTATTGTGTTATCACTAATGACTACATCAGCACATGGGGAGAGAAACGTTCCCTTTCAGTGACTTCCCCTAAAACATGTAGCATGATTGATTCACGTACGCATGCGTACTATAATCACTGTGCTGGGGCTGCGTGCTATGTTGGTGAGTAAAAGACATGGCCCTACCCTTGTGGTGTGTGTGTTGTCATGTTATCAGGTGGGGCTAGAGGGCAGTGGAGTGAGACCCCAACAATTAGGACAAATTAAATTTCAGCTTCATATACCTTGGCAAAGTCTTCTAAAAAGCAAATACCCAAATCTTGAGACTGATACACTTCATGTTAATGGGACATGGCAAATTGAGAGTGTGGTACACATGAATCGCTTCTCAAATTAATCCATGTGTGTTGCCAATGCTGCCTTTTCTCTAAACAAAACAGAACAATATTTTGTAATTCAGCAGTCGTCAGTGGTAATATTATAAACTTGTCTTCAAGTTATTATAGATACATTGTAAAATAAAACAAGTCATTATGTTACTGTTGTTAAGAACCCAGATTTTCAGCATGAAAGGAAACACATGAGAGCATAAAACCAAAGGGAAAAAAAAAACTTTTAAATATTATTTGGAAACTTCAATAGGAACTCATGAATTTTTTCTCTCTCAATTTTTATGTCTTAGCTTTGTCTATGGCAGAGGCTTAGAGGCAATGATCATCCAGGAGTGATAAGCAACCCTAGCGTGCAGATTGTGGTCTCCAAGCGCTCTAAGAGGAACCAGAGTTCTCAGAAAGGGCTGAGGCTAGGTCTGAAACAGGAGGTGAAAGAGAGAATCCTGGGAAACCGTGTTGGGCTCGTCAGCAAGGAAGCCAACACACTAAGAGGGATTATGTCAACAGACACAGGAGCCAGCCATAAGGTGACCCCACTGCTGATCCGGGATGGTGCCAATGTCAGAAAGAACAATCACAACATTCAGCACAAATTGTGCTGAACACTGGAATTTGACACAACATTGTAAAATGATTATAAATCAATAAAAAATGTTAAAAAAAAATCACAACAGACTGAAAACTATCAAACACATAATATAGTAAAAAAACAAACTCTGTTTCTAGGGTACCACGTATTGCTCTGAAAATGGATAAATAAAGTAATGAAGGATTTATCTCGCCTTTATTGTATTTCAGGGGAACCAAATGGTCAATGAGGGGAAGTTCTTCATAGAAGAATTCCAGCCAAAAAAGATTGAGACATTGAGATAGTCACCATTTTGCAATCTTATTTAAGTAATGGGGGTGAGCAATGCTAAAATGACCTGAAAATTTGCTGGGAAAAGTTTATAAAGGAGGGATTGAGCTTGAAAGCATATAAATCCACCCTTCAGTCCCTTAAAGTGGGACAAATAGACCTTACGTTGCCTCAGCACGTAGTATAATAGAAAGTACACAAAGCCATCTACGAAACAGGCTTGTGTAAAACCATGAACTAGAATCTAATCAAGCCCCTTACTCCAGCCACCATCTAGAAGAACTATGGGTGGCAGGACAGGGAGGGATCTCACAAGGAAGCAGTCAGACAAACCCAGAATGTGTAACACTCGACAGGACGGATGGCAATTCCTCCAGCAAATCAAAAGCAGAGGAAGAGACTCAGGAAACAAAACCCCCAAATGCATATTTTGGCCATGTTTTCGTCCTGATTTAGACCAACCTTTTACAGAGTTATCTTTGAAACAACTTGGGAAATTAGGTATTTGGAGGGTATTAAGGAATCGTTAATTTTATAGGAGTGATAATAGCATAATAACTATGTAAAATTTTCCTTCATTAAAAAATGCAGACTGAAGTGTTTATGTCCTTATGGTTGACACAATGTCTAAAGTTTGCCTTAGATGCTCCAGTCACGTTCCTCGCCCATAACACGTGAGGCTTCCTGACACGAGATTGGCATAATGTTGATTACTGTTGAAGGCGGGCAGTGGGTATATGAAGATCGTTAACTCACTCTTGCTTCTTTGAGCATGCTTGACGATTTTCATCATAAAACATTTAAAAAGTATACAATTTAAGGAAAGACACACTATTGTGGCGATATTCAGCCAAGCTGCATTCACTTCTGGCAGTATCTCACTTTGTTCCCCCTAGGATGGGTCTCTGTCTTGTTAAATTCCCATTGTCTTGACTCCCCAGTTTTCCTTTCCATCAGCCAATGCCCAATTCCATGTATCGCCTCTTGTCTGCACTGGCGTCTTGAGATGGGATCCTGTAAATATTCCTCATTTTCCATGCTCTTAGATAACATAAGACCCTGTGTCTTATTTCTCCATCACCTCAGGGTGCCCATCTTAATTCATCTGTCTTCCCGAGAAGCATTTTCAATTTGTGTTGGATTTGCGGTGGAATTTCCTGGTGTGTAATTCTTTCTAGGGAGGAACTTCAGAAATCCTCTTGAGATACAGTTATCATCTTTACGTTTACAACCTCACACTCACAGATGATGAATATTTTACTCATGTCATCACAGTCAAAACAGGAGGAGAATGTGAACCACATTACAGGAAGCTGCTTTGTGTTCACAGAACGTTTTCACTCCTCATCTACGGGCACCGGTGACATAGATTATCATTCACTATTTATTTATTTAGAATTCTGTGCGACACACCGATCATACACAACATAGTATGCAAGCACACATCTTAAAACAGGCCATACGGCATTCACATACTAGGCTGGTATCAGCTAAAACTGACTCATGAATCACACATCTGTTTACAGGTCGATTGAGAAGGAAACTGATGAAGGAATTTTGGACCAGTATTTGCTGAGCACGGAGTATGTACTAGGCTCTGTGTTGGGTGCTCCACATACATTATTTCATGAATGATAGTTAATAGTCACCAAAGCAGTTCTTATCGTGGCAAAGATTATTTATTTGGCATCTACTGTGTCACGCTTGATACATTTTCCATTTGAACAAACCAAAGCTCTGAGGTTACTGCAGCTCGTTTTAAGCGAGGGTAAGTAACACACTCCAGCTTGCTCAGTTACTAAGTGGGGAACTCTGACTTGCAGACCTCTGTTGCCTCCACTAGCTTTTTCCGTCAGACGTTTGCATATGACTTGAATAATTTTTGCCACCCCCCGCAAACCGCGTGGACAATTATTTATGTAATAGCTTTACATTGACATATTTTTCCTTAAGTAGATTTACCCCCCAAAGGAAATGAAATACCATGGTCAGAAACGGAAAACTAATATCATTTGTCATAAATTGGAGGTAACCATATAAATAAATGCAATGAAATGTTGGCCTCTGCAACCTGAGACTGGCTCCAGTCTGACGGAGAAGATCCCCCTCCTCGTCTCTGATTACCCCGTGGAGCACGCCACCTAAATGATCTTGTGTACTCTTTGCGGTGTGGGTACCATATGCTAGGCAATGCTTTGTTTACTATCATCCAATATGGCTTCAAAGAGGTGAAGATATTATGGATCATGGGTCTCTGCCATAAAATGCAAATAGGGTGAAACCTTAACCATACTTTGGCAAACACACTCCTGACATGAGGCGTGAAAACTGGAAAGAAAAAGTTGAGTTCAAATAACTAGATCAGAAAACAGACATGTAAAGAGAAATCTCATGAATAAATGGGAAATCGTATTTCCTGGCAACAAATTTTGACCATATTCAGGTTTCCAATGAGATAGAGCATTATATTTATAGCTAAGCATAAAATATAGTGTGTATGCATATTTGTGGGCATACATACATATGACTGTACGTACATGCATATATACACACTTGTGTCTATATATGGATTATATTTATGCTGGGAATGCTTATGCTATGCCTTCTGATGATTTTGTACATCCCCACTAAATTAGTCCTATAAACGAAGCTCGTGTACAGGCTACCGTCCTGATTTATGCACAAGAAACCAGTTCATAAGCAGTAATAAGCAGGATGTCAGTCACAGCCACTATCTGGCTGAGCACTGCACATTTAATAACTAGCATCAAGATTGCTCCTGACAGTTTTGGGTTGGCATGTGTATGTGGACAGAGTGTTTAAGGACGTCAGATCCATTTCCTAAGCAATGGAGAGCTCATTCTTTACTTTTATTTTTTTTTAATTCGAGGGGCAAGATATCATTGGAAGAACTCTGGTCTAAGATCACAAAGCTCTGTAGGCTGGAGTCGAATGTCTTTGGATATTAAAAGAAGTTCAGAAATCTCTCTTTTGTGAGAAAGATTTCCCGTTGGAAGGCAATACAATTGGGTAGAAATAAAAGCGACTTTGGAGTCAGACAGACCTCAAGTGGAAATCCCCATTTTCTACCTACCAGCTGTAAGTCCACATCTACACTTTCATTTCCTCGTTCACTAAGTGAGGATAGTGACTCCTTCATCAGAGGACTTTTATAAGGTCAAACAAGAAAATATTTGTAAATTATGAAGCCGAGTGGTTGGCCCGCTCTATCGTTCGTGTATTTATTCGTCAGACGAACGCCAAGTGCCAGTGCATGCCAGACCCCGTGCTAGGTGGAGGAACAGCAGTGAATGAGGCAGACACAGTGCTTCAGTAGATAAACCAGATTAAGAAGATGATGAATGTGCTGTAAACGCAATTGGGAAATAAATCAAATGAGACAGACAGTAAGTGGTGGGCGTAGCGGCTAGCAAAGTTCTCTCGGAGGAAGTGGCATTTTGCCTGAGACTTGACAGGTGAGACTGAGCCAACCATGGGAAGAACCCGGGGGCGGTGTTTGAGGGGGAGGGCGGGGCAGTGGGAAGACAGGAGGCCATAATTATAGTCTGGGTGGAGACGACGGTGAACTGGGCCAGAGCAGGGGCAGTAAAGATGTATCTGAATCTTGGAGTAAATATTAGTTCTCTTCTCCTAAGATATTTTCAAGAAGAAAAACTATGTCATTGAATAATTTCCACTAATTATAAATTCAAAGGAAGGAAGTCGAAATGCTTCCTACACATAGTATAGGTTCTTAAGAACTCGGAGCCTCAGGGTCTTTCTTTCTATGAACGATTTTTTTTTTTTCCTGACCAGGCCTTGAGATCAAATATTTACTATGACAAATGGGTCTGCTTTAGATTTGGTTATTATTTTCATTTAGTATTGCCTGTCCAGATGTTTGGTAATAAAACTTTTCAGAGATTTTACATATATATGAAAAAGAATAAATGTTTTCTTCTTCCCTTGTGGATATTCACCATCCCCCTAGCTGACTCATTGACAAATTTAATCATAGAAATTAGTTGTTGTTGTGCTGGGGTCCCCTGGCCATGCGCAAGGGCGACTCTTGAGTGTTTTGCTGGGACAGCCACAAAAACCCTAAGTGACAGGCATGAGTCAGGACACGTTCCACAGAGGAAAACAGCTCTCAGTTGACATTCTTTCCTTTCGGTGCTAATACTGGCTTAATTTGGAGAACAAGCAATGAAAAGCCAGCCCTCGTTCTCTGTCGGCTTCCCAGACAGCTGGGTCAGGAACGTCTTCTCTCTGCAGCGGCTCTGGTGGGAAGCCCTGTACTTGAGAGCACGGACTGCCCCCCACACCTGCCTTCCGCTCTTCTACTTTTGTGGTTCCAGCGTGGGGACCTCCTCCTTTCCCGGATGCCTTTCTCTGGCCTTGGAGTGTGGGTCTCCAATACCTCGCTAGTCTCTACTTGTCACGGATGGTTAGTCAGTCTTAGGAAACCATTTATCAGTAATAAATGAACCACATCTTTACACTTGCAGGTATGATGAGGTCAGGATGTCTTGCTATTTGATAATCCTAGTTGCCTTGAGATGGATTCAGGAGCAACACTGGAGGGCAGCCACTGCAATGGTCTGAAATAGCTCACCCCTCACTTCCACCTCCCCTACTCCTTTGGTATTTTTATGTGGTTCTATGCATAAGTGCGTTTTTGCACACCTTAGCACTGCCTTGTTCATTTCCTCAGATGATCGGAGCACCATGTGACATACAAATAAACTAGTCAGTTACTTGTTAACACCCTCTCATGGTAAAATTAATTGGAGGTGTTCCTATTCAAAAAAAAAATGACTCGACCTCTGATGCATACTCCAGAGAAAAC